TACAAATCTTCAGACACCAGAATAAACGTAGGATTTTCAAAGCAGCATCATGCATGTACATCAACAGACACTTATATTATTAGCAACATACAGGCTATTTTAAGAAAAGAAAACAACAAATTACCTTTATACAGCCATCAAAAATATTAGTTTTCCAAGAAAGGCCAACTTTTCCAATAAGAGGTACGTGTTCGGCGTTATTTTTAGAACTTATCACAACGAGCTTCGCATATTCATTTTCTATGTATCCTGAAAAGATGTAAGAGTTTTAACATTACTATATACCAATGCAGGACAACAAGTCAAGACTCCTCAGGTTCGCTGCCCAGTGAAGGAAGCTCCCATAGCTACATAATGGTGGGGGTGGGGGACCCCAGCATGGCTGACTCGGGTGTCTGCCAGAGAGGCCAGGGCGGGACCACAGCTGCACTCCAGAGGCAGAGAAACAAGCACGCCCCAGAGTGAGACCCAGACATGCCTGAGCACGGAAAATGGAAAATCCGATCTGCGGAGCTTAAAAAACAGATGCCAGATATTGCACAGAAAAGGCACTAAGCATGAAGGAGGAGAGAGATGTCCAGAGAAACAAGAGGCGAGAGCAAGCGGATGTGGACGAGATAAGGGAAGGAGCCCAGCACACGAGGTCTTGGCACAGCGTGCAAACAAGCAGAGGCCCTGGCACGTGCTGACCAAGAGCTGAGACCAGAGCCCAGGCCGCGCCGGCGCAGCTGGGAGCTGACCAGGGGCAGCCGTACTCCCGAGGCCCTGGAGGGGGCGTGAGCAGGACGGCTGAGCCTCATGTAAGGGTGCACCCCAGGCACGCACTTCAATGCATCCTGAGGAGGGAGCATCACGCGTGACCATGTCGGAGGCTTCGCCCGCACAGGTGGAAGGAGAGTGAAGAGCCCACGTCCTTTGACCCCAGGCTGTTTATTTCACAGGACAAGACAAAACCAAAGCAAAGCTGTCTTGGGAGCCAGAGCCCCATCCTAGAATTTCTATACGGTGTCCTCGCTTAAGTGTAACCGGAAGATCGGGAACAGCCGCCTCCTCACGGACAGGACGGGGCTCTGTGTGGGGTCACAGCCCTGTGGGGCCAGGAGCCCTCTGGCTCCAAGGACAGAGGCACCCGGGTCCCCTCCCCCACCAAGCGCTCAGCAAGGCCCCTGTGGCTCCTGTCCTGCTCTCCTAAGCAGTCACCTCGGAAGCATGAAGGAAGCAGGAGGGAAGCGAGGTCTCGGAGGAGGCACGGTAAGGTTGTCCTGATCTGACCAGACGTGGCTCTGCTCCGTGTCACCGCACAGCCACGTGCCATCCAAGAGGCCCCACCTGGCTGGCGGCCCGCTAGTGCCACCCCAAGAACTGGAGGTCATTTTCCATGTGGCTTGGCCTCAGGGCACTGCAGAAAGTAGACCCCAAAGTACAGGAGCCAATAACATTTCAATGGTAACTGTCTGAGTTAATAGACATGAAATCTCTGTAGGAAGCAAGGACTGCAGCTGTTCCATTGTTACTGGACATCCTCCCACTTCAGAACAGCTGTAATGTCTTCACAAGTCAGAGAGCCTTCCACCAGCCCGCTATAACTGCTTACGTTTCTAAGAAAAAGGTGAAGCTCTTTCTACACATGAGCAGTCTGCACACAGAACACGTGTGAAGGTGAGCGTGAATAGAACAGGTCATATTTTTGAGTATTTATTGTACACTGAGCGTGTGTAAGCACTTTGTGCCTGGCAGCTTAAAAGAATACCTTAAAATAGCACCATTAATTAGGTGTTAGAACTTTTGAACAAACCCACAGGTCACGCTGCAGGTGAGCGGCAGGAACCCGACCCAAACACTGGCCTGTGTCTAGAGTCCACGTTACAACAGATTAAACAGATACAAAAATGGAGACACATGATCACCTACAGGTTTACATACTAGCTGAGAATTTATGATGTAGATTTAGGTTCTCATGAAGTTTTGTTTCCACATTACCACCAACAGAGAAAATCTATGAATGTGCAGACAAGACCCGCTGGGGAGGCAACTACGGCTCCAAAATCGGTGCTGATTTCTCCCTGCTCACCACCTCTCCACCCGGCTCCCAACCTTCCCCAACTAGATCGTGAGCACCCCAGTGCCTTCACCGAGACGTGCCCTTCATGCCCGGGTCAGAGTGAACCCTGTGAGGGTGCAGCAGGAGGGAAAACCGCCTCTGACAAATGCAGGGGCAGAGGCCCGGTGCGTGGGGCTGGCACGGGCCGTGCTCTGGAGTCCACCACTGGGCGAGAGAGGACAGTGCTTTCACAAGAGAAGCCACAGTGTGTCACACATACAAATGCAGAGCCCAGTGCTCCCAGAGACTGCGGGCTAACATATCCTTATTAAATTCCCGTGCTGCTTAAACCATTCAGAATAAGTTCTGTTGTTGGAGACCCTAACCTTAACCTACCAGTACATAAGACCATCCTCCAAGTGCAGAGAAATACAACTCAAAGCTCACTAGCCTTGGTTCTCATGACGAACCCTTAGAAGCACGGACTTCAGAGTCGTAAGGACCCAATTCCAAACCCTGCACAGGCACTTTCTAGCTGTGTGACCATGGTCAAGCTCCAAGCCAAGCACAAGGAGATACAAATAGTATAAAGCTTTGTGATTAAAGGAACTAAAAGTAAATATTACCAGTACAAGGTGGATTATTATAAATGCCAGGCTAAGGTTGCTAAGCACTTTAAATGTATTATCTCAACAATAATATTCTATCTAAAGAGCCAAGCCTATTGCCAAGCAGAAAGCAAAGATGTACCATGTTCATGGATTGCAAGACTCAATACTGTCAAGACATCCATTTATCCAAATTGATGACATTAATAATTCAATGAGAAAAGAAAGCCTTTCCACAAATGGTGCAAGAACAATCTGCTAGTAAAAATTGGGAAAATATAATGAACCTCAACCCTTGCCTTATCCTTCACACAAAGATTAATTAGGGATGGATCACAGACCTAAATGAAAACTGAAATCTAAATCCAGCTGAAAGAAAGAATATCCCTATAAGCTGGAGTAGGAAAGATTTTTAAGGCAGAAAAAAGAATACCATTTTAAAAATTAATAAATTAGATTTCATCAAAGTGAGAAGCTCTTGATCATTAAGAGACCACTAAGAAAATGAATAAGCAGGCCATAGACTAGAAAAAATTTTACAAAACACATATCTGACAAAGGACTGGTATTTAGAACATATAAAGAACTCCTACAATTCAGGAATAAAGAGAAAAATACTCTTTAAAAAGAGAAAATCCAAAAGGATTAAGACACTTCGAAAACAGATATGCAAACAGGTAATAAGCTTGCGAAAAAGTGCTTAACATGACCTACCACAAGGAAAATGCAAATCAAAACCACAATGAGACACTGCCCCCAGCACATGCCAGAGCATCTGAAATCTACAAGACTAATGACATCAGAGGTTGCCCAGGGTATGGAGCAAGGAGCACACTCACACACAGACGATGCGAGTATACAAGGGCACAACCACTCTAAAAGTCAAGTCTGGCAATTTGTAATCGGTAACCCTGCCCTAAGATCCAACAGTCCAGTCCTAGGTATTCAGCCAAGAGAAATGAAAACACATGCCCACAAAAAAGATTTTCACAACAGCCCAAAACAGGGAACCACCCAAATTTCCTCTCTATCAACACGAAAATGCGTGAGCAAACTCTGGCATATTCGTTCAATGGAATACAACTCATCAGCAAAGAGGAATGACTGTCAATCTGAGTCAGTATGGACGCACCTCAGACACTATGCAGAAGGAAAGAACACAGACGCAGGAGAGTACGGGCCATGCGATCCCACTTATACCAAGTCCAAGAATAAGCAGAACCAACCTATGGTTGAAAAAAAGGAAAGAAATATGTACATGGGAGGTCTTGTAGTATTCTTGCAATTTTTTCTAAGTTGGAAAGTATATCAGGGAGTTACAGCAAAAAGCTCAGAAGGAAGAACCTCGGCCTTGGACATGAGATCCAGAGCTATCAAGAGCTGCTTTGGGAGGAAGTCAACTCAGATCACAATGAGGCAAGAGTGGCCAGAATGGGAGAGAGAGGACAGACAGACAGGCTGCTGGACAGAGGGTCCCACTGATGGGCAATGAGCCCACACAGCAAACTGCATTTGAAATTAGGCCTGCTCCTGGGTCTTTCAACATGAATGCTTTCTGCTAAGCCAGTTTTAGGTTAGGTTTTCTAGGTAGAAAATTAAGTTCTAGATAGCTTTCAACCAAAAATAATCCTTTTTTAGTTTCAGGTGTAACTTTATTTTCTTAATTGGAGCATAGTTGATTTACAATGTTCCAGGTATACAGCAAAGTGATTCAGTTATGCATAAATACATATTCTTTTTCAGATTCTTTTCCATTATAAGTTATTTCAAGATGTTGAATATAGTCTCTAGGCTATATGGATCTATACAGAAGTGCTTTTTTTCTCTTTTAAAATAATTTTTGAATCAGAAAACATGAATACATTCATAAGTAGAAGAGGAGTTGATGGAAAACAGGTCTGAGAGAATGAAAAGACAAGAGACCAAGGGCTGAATAAAGGTCCCAGGACAGGTCAGAGCAAATGTATTTAAATAGGAGCAGAAACAGGGAAGACTGTTGTGGAAAGAAGTGAGACATCTTTTTCTCTAAAACAGGGAAAAAACAAGACTACAAGAAGACTGTGATCCATGGAGACACGCCGGCAGATGAGGGAGAAGGTGAGGACGCACTGTGACTCCCGGCACAGCAGGTAGGGAGCCCGGGACCAGGGAAGACTGTGACTTCCTGGGAATACGAAGGGGGCCACCAAGAGCTGACTAAAGGATTTCTGAGCAGCGACCAGGGGTAAGCTGAAACCTGACAGCCCTGTGGACATGTGTCTGTGATCTTCTCCAAGGAGCTGCTGGGCAGTCACAAAGTCGCCAAAGCAGCATCGTGGGCGCAGATGGAGGGAGGCCACCAGGTGACAAGGAAAGGGACTCTGCGGGGCGACAGAGGACAAGACCACTGACAGTGTAACCCAGGTTGCGCACCCAGAGAAATGCAGCTAGAAGGGGAACCAGAAGAATGAGAAGAAACCCAAACAGGCAGTAGCAGTGAGGAACAGGAACCACGCACAGTAAAGAAGGCTGTGGTCTGAGACGAGGCTCTGAGCTCCAGGTCCTGGAGAGTGAAGTCCCAACACCAATCAGACTGACATCAGGGCAAAAACCGGAAAACC